TGTAACAAATACATTACATTACATTAGTAACCTCAAGCAAATATAATAAGAATGAGGAAAGGTTGGAGGTCAAAGGTTTCAGTGGCTTTTAGATCAATAGTGATAGAACTGCCTGAAACAGTGTGATTGATCTTTAGTCTCTTAGTGCATAACTAACATCGCTCTTGACTTAACTTAACTCGATTTTGGTTTTCTTAGACTTTTTTGTTTTAATATAGTTTTCAATAATCGTTTAGAGATGTCGATTGCCTAAGAATTCTTGTGTAATAAGAACCCTCCTTTCCTGTCTGAAGGAAAAAATAGCCTCATCACTCTCATCGTAATGGTCTTGACACTTGGACGCCTAGTCAACATTTGACAGTGAAAATGACTTTACCGGCTGAAAACTATGGAGTTCTGTTGACAGCACAATATGATGGTGATTTCAACCGGTGATAGAGAATGTCCCGAAATAAAATAACAGAAAAGAACAATAACTGCGCATCATGTTATAGATACATTAGGTCCGGCATTGAGAGTTCTTCCCACGGATGGTCAAAATTGAATACATTCTTAGGTCGATATGTATAACAAATGGTCTAGTTAACGAATAAATTCCATGTTGCTGTGCGTTTACTTGTCATTACGTGCAAGATACTTGTCGATGCATCACGAAACATTTTGGCAACAAAAACAGTTTTAAATTTTAGCGGGCCGTGCAGCAGAACACGGCCCGCTAAATTGACCAATCACAGCGCGCGTGCTAACTGAGAGATATAATAAAGAACAATATTTTCGAGACAATCTAAGATGCGCCGCGCGTCAGCGTGCCGCGCACTCTTTCAAACTTGCATCGCATGACGTAGCGCTCACTAAATTTACAACGTACCATTACGTCCCTCATAAGACGCAATGTGATTAGGGCTGATTTTGGTGTGTGTCTTGTACTGGCCTTCAAGACTACCGATATTCATCAAATCTTTATCATCATTGCAGCATTTACTCGAAAATAGATGTCGTCCAGAAACAACAAACAAACAGTCAGTCGGTTGGTAGGACAGAGGAAAAGCAACAGAGATAACAGAGGCCCGATACTCAAGTTCGTCGTCTCTTTCAAGCAACCCCGTTGCGTTGCACCTACTTAGTTCTATCTCAAACGAATAAGCTGTCTCCATAACGCCGCTCATGTTTGGAAGAATCGGGGGTCAAGTACTTTACGTGCAGAAATTTCCAGTGTAACTTACTGGTGAACAGATCTGACGGTGACTGTTTTAGTCTTGGTCTTTGCCCTCATAATTCTATGGAGCTTTTTTTCCTTTTTGCTCAGATCTAGCTTTCCAGACCATGATTTATCTAATCCGAGTCTGTAGAATTAGAGTCAACTTGGAATTAAGGTTTATGATATATTATCTTGTACTCTCGGAATCTTATTGACTAATCGCGAACTGAAACTTAAGTTAACTCGAAAAGGGTATAAGAAACTGACTGAAAAACTTTGGTTAATTTAAAGATGATTAGCATTATTTAGTTTTCGATCAGATGGTACAATGTATGCATGAGTTCCGACGGGACAGACATGAAAGCATTGCCTCAATTGAATGGCCAGAGGATGTAGGAATTTACCTATGGAATTGGGTCCATCAGGCTACAGAAACAGGAAAATTAACTCACTATTGTAAAAAAAGTGGTCTTTAAAACTTCTGTAAGGGCGAAAAGTATAGATTGTGGTGAGGACGAAAAATCCCGTGTCGGAGAAGTGGCGCTACTGCCGTTCGACAGTGCAAGAAATGAGTGATATCAAGTAACCGTTGTCCTTCTCGTTTCTGGACTCAGATTGGTAAAAGCGACTGGTCAATTTGCTATTTCTTAATATGTCTTTCCGTAAGTGACTTCCACTTCGTTCTCTTGTCTGTTGTTAGGCCCTACCTGGCACGAGACTCCTGCGAAACTCCCGTTAACAGACTGGTAACCATGTGATATGACGCAAACGGTTATATTTGGAAGCCCGCTTGCTTCTGTTTGCGATCATTTCGATGGCTGTCCGTTTCAGGCTCTTTTTTAGCGAGTACGTGGACAGCGGGCGGAAAGGGGTTGAAAGTCGTATCCGTTTTTTCCCGCAAGTTAATTTAAGTGAATGGCTATCACTTTGCTTACCATAAAATAATGAATTGCCCTCGTATCAGTTACAAAAGAGACGGTGTTGAATTACGTGTCTCGCCGGAATTTTTTTTCCGAAACGTTTCATTTTGTTGTAGAAATTACCGGAAAATAGCCAACGGTAGGGATCAGTTTTGCCATGAACGATTTTAATAAACAACAATGAAATGATATATTATGACGATAATTACAATAAGTTACTCAATATATTGTTAGGTGTTTGATTTATGAAAGCGAAACATTAATTTGAATCAGAAGCATATCACCTCGACGAGGTGATATGCTTCTTTTTGAACTGATCACTAAGGAGTAACAAAGTTAAGCGATAAAAATTTTGAAACGATTATTGTTTTATTCATTTACGTGGTCTCAAACTCGTGCAAGACTTTGATTTTCGAATCGAAAGAAATCAATATCTTTAGTAAAAACTACCACTATATTGCGTGAGACACGACAAGGAAAAGATATCAATAATCAATATCTTGAGAAGCCTGGCCCATTTCTATAAATAGATCATGTAACGTCAATATTCAATGACGCCCTCGTCAATGAAAAGAAACTTCACTGGGTTGAGATGACGTAGTTGCTGAGGGGTATTCCCCGGGAATGCATTCAGTTGGCTTGAAATGCACAATAAATGACGTAACTCGACAGACGTCACGGATGACGCATTTTGAAATTAGGTGTTTCAATTTCCTGTTTCTTTAATAGACATTCGGTTCCGTACGGAGGTGATCCTTTACTTGTCCAATTTGGTGTCTTGTTTTTCTTTTCTTGGTAAGCTATTATCGTGAAGTTCCTGTTGAAAGTAATGGCGGTCCGGAAAGGGACTATTTATTGCCTGGCATGGCTGCCAAAGTCAAAATATAATAGTCAATAATGAGAGAGCCTCCTATATGTAACATTTAATCTGTAAATTAGAATTAACTTAGTAAAAGTGAATCAAGGAAAACTAAGTGGCAGAATAAGTTTATGCGAGAATCAATTGACCCATCAAGAAGAAGTTAAAAAATCGATAATTATTTTTATACTAATTTTTTTTCTAGTTGCTCAAAACTTATGACTTTTATCTTCTTTATATAAATGCAAATACGGTCATTTCTGTGAATCGATTTTCGATTGTCTCATTTTCGCGCTTAAATAATCCTGGCGGAAATAATAATTCAAAACAATGGAAACACTAAAGATAAATAAAAAAAACACTAGGAACTGGTCAGCAACAAGCCTGGATTGGGCTCACACCGCAATATTTTAACTGTTCAAAGGTCAACCCTATAAGAGATCACAGAGTGGGTTTTTAATTGATTTGCCATAATATTTATTGATTCATTCGTCCGTTTACCAGACGTCTTATCAGGTCATCTATCTATTTTCTCATATCGGAAGGATTTTGGAATCAATTAAAGGATTATTGGGGCAATTACCATGTAGTCATTACAGGTTCGATAATGAGAAGGACACTTAATCTTCACCATATTTCCGCCGACACGTATAACATACGTTTCTTTTCGTGTCACCACTAAACTTTATAGTGTTAATTAATATGTAATCACGGAAGAAGATGATTGTAGAACCGTATAGTAACAATTATCTTAATTTATCTTCGAACGTTCTTTACATCTAGTATTCCCCAATAGAATGAATATTCCATTTTCTTTTTTGTGTTTGAAGCTGATATTAAATCAAAAAGATGTTAAACTAGACAACGATTGTTTGAAGATAGCGTGATTAATTCAGCTCCTTAATCTCTGATTGTAATTCGTTTGCCGAAATAGGTTTTTAATTTACCATGGTAATAAGCGTAACCTAGGTTTTAAACATGCATGTTAATTAATTGCATATAAACAACGTCAATTAAATTCTGTGGAAAGAAAATAAGAAGCAAACTTGGTCTTTTCTAATGTGGGAAATTCTCCAATAAATGTAAGGTCTCGATTTCGAAAAAAGTTAAAAATCAGTCAGTCGAAACAAAGGTAAGCTACAAAAAGATCAGCCCATTTCATTTGCTCATTTTTTAATTTTTATCCTTTATACGCACACTTAGAAGTGTATTTTATATTATTTATACACATTTTACATGTAAAGCTATCTCTCAAGATGTTTCCCGGCCATCGAGTCGAAATTCCTTTCTGACTCTGTAATTCGTTTCATTTATTTGGGTAACAAGGTTATTGAAGGGAACTTCCTTCAAAATCAGCTGGGGTCACGTTTCACGGAAGTCACGATATATTTCATGTTCTCTTCCAACCACGCAGATAAGAAATAAAAGGAAAACCTTTTAGTCACCAAGGAAGCTCTATCCATGTTACCGGAAAATACACGATGCTAATGTTTGCTGGAATCTAAACAGTAAGACTTTTAAGTTCTGTTTTCAGAACGATCCAGGGGCCGACAACTGCAAATTTCTTCTTAGACTTCTTCAATCCAAAATAACTGCATTGAAAAAAGTCCGGGACAAAGATCCTATAAGTCAGTTTTTCGTTAGTTTTCCTTGGTCAACAACGTTTTACTGCAGTTATAAACCCTGCTGATTTTTCTTTTTCTTCGACGTAATGCTTTTAACCCACAGCACGATACAACATTTTAGACTGTAGCTCGATCGCTCCTGTCTTTAGTCGGAAACATGAAAGAAAAAAATTAAGTATAAATTTACACATGTTTTAGTCAACTTTTTTTTCGTCGAGAACTTCCTGAAGTAAAGCGTTCGTGAAGTAAAGTTAAATCGTCCCGGTATACATTTTCGGTCTTATATTCAACGTCTTTTTAAAATTTTCGTTTCAAACAAAGCCTGTTCATTAGCTCTTTAAATGATTAATTAAGTTCTCGCGGCAAAGTTTCCCATTTCGCGTTAACGTATTCGGTTTCGTGACAAACAGGCGCTATTTGGAACGCCTGGCAAACTTCGTGGCGCGATAAAAATTCAATCAGCTGACGAAAAATTCTTCCACTTTGCCGCCGCGTCACTTACCACTGACCAATCAGCGCTCGTCAATGGAGGAGGAGCGGGCCGTTTTGATTGGCGTGGTCACTTCATGGGGGGTCGTGTTGTTCGCGCAAGGCTATTGCATATCTCAAGCATGCATGGCGGCATGCTACAAGGCTCCGAGGCCACTGAAATTCCCCTTCTTGGAGACTTTTGGACGCTTGCATGAAGAAACAAAACTGTTTCGTCTTTGAGAGGAAACTATCTACTTTCAAGGAAAATCGTTCGCGGAGTCGTGATCGTTTTAGGGAATTGGAAAAGTGCTATGATTTCGATTGTCGTTCTGCGTTTCTAGCTTCTTGACTGCGTTCGACCTGACGCGTTACCGAATTGCAAAGGTGGAGCATATCTGTTCTGGAAAGTGTGGTGGATTGCTTTGGATCGAATTAACGACAAAAAACTTTTGGAATCAAAGCAGTGTTTGCAGGACTCGAGGTGAAAAGCTATGTCTGGTGAGTTGAAAATTTGTTTTGTTTGAGACCTGCATACGATGACGTGCTGTACTGTAAATCCGCGTAAACTTCAATTGTTTTTCGCTCCCTTACACTCACGCTTACGCCTTAGTTCACAGCTACTTTCATACATTGCCTGTTATTGATCAGTATTTTGCAAAGTGATTGGGCTACACTGCTGGGAACAATTTTCCATTGCATGATTTGTGTATGTATCAAGGAGTCTGAAGGACGCCATTTTGAGATGAAGTCCAAAGATTGTGGCGCGTTCCAATTCAAAACTATAAAAAAATGCACAAAATCAAAGAGATTATGTGAGTGAACCTTGGAAATCTTTTTTAGGTCGTTTTTGTTGGTTTGAAGCGGAAAAAGCTCTTTGGCAGTACCTTTAAATTCGCTAACCCATTGTCGCTTCGCTATCTTTCCTTTAAACACAACGGCCGCCATTCATGGGTTATGTTGCCAATAACAGTTGATTTTTTATTCGATGGGCGTAACACAAGGCTCAGGAATAAAACGATTGGAATATGTGTGGAAGATAAAACATCAAGGCCAAGTACCTCAGGCAAACGACTTTGGTGGATTGAATACACGAGAAACTTGTGATTCTTAAAACGCGAACAAAGGCACGAACCAATGTTCTAGCGATATGAATAATTACTGCCAATGACATAAGATGGCGGATGCACGGTCAGTGGAAAATCGAAATGGTGATTTCATTTGGTGACTTTTATTTTGCCCGAGATCTTGGTCAGTTTTTGGCATTGACAACTCCGCCTGTGTGTGTCGTACAAAGATATGCGTCGTAGAAATTGTTCTTCGTCCATTTACCGAGCGAAACATCTGCGTTCTTCGCGATTTTGTATTATTTATGAATGTTCATTTGTTGTTCTACTGGAGTTCCCCTATGAAATAAGCCATGGCTGAAATCTACAACCTCGCGATTTGATGTAAAATTTCACTCAGTCTAGTCAGTATGTTCGCATTTCGCGCAGCCGTGAACACAATGACTATTTCCACTGTAAGTTTAAATCGCCATGGCTTCACTTGAATTCAGTTCATTCGTAGTAACTAACGATCATTGATGTAGGCTATCAGCTGAGCGAGGAAAGTCAAGGACGCGTTTCGTGAAAGGCAACTTTACCTTTCGGAAAAATCTGAACTATTTTGCTTGATAATACTCTAACAGCTTGACTACGCCTTGCAGAGTAAACTACTAGGAATGAAACGAACGAAACATGTTGTAAGCGACGTTTCTATTTGCATTTTCCTTATTTCATATCTCGCTTCTAGTCTAAAGAAGTTTTTCTTCCTTCTTCAGGACGAACTAAACGAGGCCCCGGCAGACCAAGAGTGACGGAAACTGTAGTAAGTACTGACGCTGTTTTAGTATTTCAATGAACGAAGGTGAGAAGGTTAAATCTATGCTTACTTATCCCAGCCTTCGACAGATTTTATCACGAGTTGCGTGTCCCATAAATGGTCTTTTGTTCATCAGTTCCAAGCGTTTCCTAGCGCTTTCCTTACTGCTCGAATTACAGCATTTCTGTGTTGCTAATCGAAATTCGTTAGACTTCTCGAAGTTGCCAATATAAAAGGGTGTAGTAAATTGAATTCCACTCTTCAATGAGACCGTGAGAGCTTTGCCTTTTGGCTCAACAACAAAATGTTATGCGATACTATTTGTTACGATAGTAAGTTTTTTACCTCTGAATGTGAAACGGAAAATTTTTTTGATGAAATATCGTGAACTGCTTACAGAGTTTGCTTTCTTTGGATCTCTATTACTGTTTGTATAAATTATATTTTTTGGTCGGATCTCAATTTGAAACTGGTATTGTTACTCACATCAAATTGAGAAAAAACAAGAAAAGTATAACATGTAATTGCTGTTGTTGTAATAGCGGCCTATGTATGAGAAGGAATTTTGAGAAAATGGTATCATTTTATGAACTGTAAACTGGCTTTGGTTAAAGTCAACCTCAGGTTCTGACATTGCTACATTTCTTTGGAAGAATGAAATTCGTGGAGCTTGTGAAGGGGATGTGAAAATCTCTGTTTGTTTCAATCTGCCAATTGAAAAAATGAATGATATTTTAATTTACCTCTTACAAAAGAGTGTGTCTTCAGTTCTTTTTTTGCAACCTAGAGTTTGGTTTGTTTCCTCTCTTTTGTCAAACAATGAAGGCTTCAATCTGGTACACAGGAAACTTAGGGGAAGTATTTTAAGGAAGTATTTGTTATAATTCCTGTTTTGATGGTAACAGATCAAAAAAGTTTGATCTGAAAAATTATTTTTGTTATTTATACATTGTTTTTTTAGATTTGATTTACAGAGAAATGTTTTTCACTCTGCAACAGATGTATTTCAAATTCCAAGAATGATTTCACTATCTTGGAGTATAGTTGTCTTCATGGGAGGGAATTGACTGCATTGTCAACTTACAAAATATGACTTGGTGGATATTATCTTTCTTGTGTTCCATTTTTATTATTTTTGTTCGCTTGGAACTTTAGAAACATTTCCAGAATTACTGGCACACTGTTTATAATTGTTTTGGCCATTGTTTTGTAGATTGTCAAATTATGCAGAGTATTGATTGAGTTTAATTTCATATCAACAGAGTTATATATAGCCTTTTGTTTTTCTGTTTATAGACATCCATTTAAACACTTTACATACTAGATGTATGGTTGTTGTCAAAGTGATAGAGGTAACAAAACTTGAAATCTAAAACGGTGTTTGATTAGAACGGTGTTTCGTAGTCCAAAACCACAGAGAAATGGTAAATTCGCCATAATTAGAATTATGAAGTGTCTCCAGAATAGCAGCAGTAAGAAGAAAATTGTGTGCGAAGGAAACTAAATAAAAATACCATTTTTTATTTTTACACAATTCAATGATTGCTTTTTATCAAGTTGTATTTTAATCTACAATTGATAGTCCCTTTGTTCATCTCTTGTTTAAGTGTCATTAAAGAAACAAAAGCATCTTAATAGATTTAATGCGTTGTAACCTTCAGAACAAAAGTTTCTGACAGGTCAATTTTATCATAAGTTCATTTTGATATTGGCCAAATATGGTGTATATCTTTACTGCAACTGTTAATCTCTTTTTCAGTGACAAAACAATGAGAAAGATATAACATAAACCTCTTGTTAAGTTCAGCTGGGTAACACATATATAGCAGGTTGAAAGAAGTCGTGATAATGTTTCAGAATTGACTCTTATTGCATGAAATTGTTTTGGTGAGGATATGTTATTCAGGAGCCTTCTTGTCTGCATAGATACCGCTGTTCATTCAATTACATACTTGTATTTCCTCTGTCCAATGTTTGAGAACACTTGGTATATTTCAGTGTCAATACTCTTGCCTTTGGGTCATGCTTTCTGCACGTTTTCTGTGTTCTCTTGAAATTACAACTTAAATATACCTTTATTTTATGTCAGTGTAGTGGGTTTTGGTTCTCTATTTATTTAATAATTCCCCTATTTGTCATATTTCAAAACAAGCAATCTGGCCCATACTTCATTTAATTGCTTTGTAATTGTTGTTATTTTTCATTAGTTTCTTCTTGATTATGTGTAGCGTAGAAGGCTGCTTTTTACAGTGTTTTTCATTTTGCCCTCTTGAAACACTGCAATTGTTGTACATGTAGATAAAGAAAACTTCTTAATTTTGGGGAAAAAATTATGAAATTATTTACTTCTTCGGCACTCATACAAAAAAAGGAAAAATGACAGAAAGTAGTGAGGGGGCCTAAGAAGAAACCATGGGTCTTATAAAATTAGACCCTTGGCATAATACGTATTGAAGAACTACTATGGAGTAGGATGGTGGTGGATGGCCTAATGTTCAGTTATTAGAATATGAATTTTGAGTTAAGATTTAAATGAGGGCAGAGATCCAGTTAACAATACCTCGGTCATGTTGTGATTGCTATATTCAACAGTCCCTGAGTCCATACCCAAGTTCTCCGTTAACACCAGATTCTGAAGAGGGATTCATAATGAATATAAGGGAAGAGGGTAGATCCACAAGGGTGCGAAACAGACCAAAGCCTCAGCCTGCAAAGAAGACAAGAGTCAATGCTCAGAGGTATGGTACTGCTATTTATAAATAGACTTGCTTGTGTAGGTTTCTTTGTTTTACCTTGTTAGCAAATTCACAACTGTATCAGGTAATTAATGCATGCATTGATGTGCAGCCTTCATCAGAATATGGATTTCATTTGAAGATACCATGCCACAGTTTTTGAAATTTTATGTTCAGTTTGGAAGGAAAAGGGACAAACACAGCTGGAGGGAATAATGTTTGAACTAAAATTGGATAGTTACCTACATGGCATAAAAATATCTCCATAAAATTCCCAGTTTCTTATAATATTCAACATGCAGAATTTGTGCACAGTACTATACACAGTTATGTATTTGTGTACTGTCATGTAATTGTTCACAAAAAAAAGAAATTGCTGAATTTACTGAGTTCTATGTTAGCTAAACATATTACTTTTTTAAAATATTAAATTTGACAAGTGCATTCTCTGTATTGTGTAAAATGCCACTCAGGTTTTATACAAGAGTGTTACTTGTGAATGGGCTCAGTTTTGTTCACATAATCCTCTTGGCAAATTGTCCAGGATAAAAGACTATTGATCACAGATAGATAATCTTGTTCCCAAGGACGATTGTTTTCAGTTAATGCTATTAGCACTTGGACAGTCATCAAGGTTTTCTCTCTCCATTTTTAGCATCAAAGAAATTAATTTGGTAATGTCTATTTGTTTGGTCAATATGTATGGTGTAAATAATGGCTGTTCATCTGCACAATATGACCTTGGCATATTGATGTTAACAAGTTCCACAATGTATGTTAGGTTTCCTTTGTAATCTGACACTCTTCTTTGAGGAAATATCAATTTAATTTCAGTCCTAATGCATGTATTTCTTGTTTGTATACAAACCTATTTTATTAGTTGAATTGTGACAATTGGAGAGGGGTATCAAATATTGCAGGAATATTAATTTATCTTGTAGAGTATGAGTTTCAGTTATTTCAACTAGTATCTGAGTGTTTAGTTTAGAAGGAGGATTGTATAGAGAGTATGAAAAGGATTTTCTGTTTGAGATGAAGGGGATTCCCACCATAACAAAATGTTTTTCAACTAGGAATTGCCTGGCTTTGGTGATGCACATGTTTCTAGAAAATTATGCATGACTAGCAACAGACAATCTCATTGAGAGAGTTTGGATGTCATTATCAGGACATGTTAGCTAAAGGTTATTTTGAAAGGAAGCAGTTGCAGCTAAACTTTGTCCAAGTTTCTTTTAGATGTGATTCTTGTATTATGTCCTTAGCTGGGCTGGTCCTATGTTTTGTAGATTAAGATTGTTTGTATCAGTTGTAATTTGTTTTGTTTTTGTTGGTAAATTTGCCTTTAATTACAGTAGTTGTCATGGAATTTATTTTATATATTGTTCTCCCACTTGACCTTGTCTGATTTAGCTGTTTTTGTGTGTCATTTTTCATTTTCAGTAAGTTGAAATCTCCTATCAAGGCTTCCCCAATTGGTTCCTGCACTGAAAGTAATCGTGAGAACCATGATATAAGTACAGATCATGAAAATTTGATGGTAAGAAGGCATTCCATTAAATGTAATAGGAAATGTTATGCTAGCGATAATTAATACTTAATGATATTGAACTTGTTTGAATGGATCTAAACCTGGTTCTGTTGGTAAGGGTATAGAAAACCTGACAATTCATATTGTTTGCATACTAAAATGAAAAACAATTTGTAATACACTACATACCATTTACTTTATCATCTGCATGCCAAAAAGCATTTAAGGTTACCATGGTCATTTGCTGGTGTCCTTAGCTAGTAAAATATCAATTTGGCCATTTTAAAGTCAACCACCACAAAATGTATATCATTGCAATGCTTATAAAATGTATATTCAGATCCAAATTTTTTCTTAAAATGCAAGTCAAAATAAATGAACTTGTTTCAGTTGGCCCTCTGTTCTAAGTCTTCTGTTAGCCATATATGTGTCATTGAATGATTGTGTTATTGAAATGTTTTTCAAATTCTTCATGAAGATAAGTTTGCGCTCACATATAACTGTAAATAACTCGCAACTCTTTTCAAATTGTGCCTTCCCTAACAGGAGATCTCGCCCTACTCTATGCCTCTGGATGGGTCAGGCCAATTGTTGTATGACAACTTGACATCTGACGGCTTTGGAGTAACAAAGAGACCATTGACAGACCCAGAGGATGAATTGTAAGTACTTTTCCACTTTTAACTAGACTTGTCGTAATCCTATCTAATAATATTGCAACTAGCAAATTGCTGATTTTGTTGTTATTAAGAAGCACAGTTCTGTTCTTGCCATAAGCATGGCTGATTGATGTGTTCTAAAGGATCTGTCATCTTGTGTAAAAATTAAAGCTGGTTGGGAAGTTGTTGCATTTTATGGGGTTATTTTTTGTCATATATAAAATCAAGTGAAGCGTCTTATTTTACTATGGAAGGTAAGTGCAGCCAAAGAAGTGACGGTGAATGAAAGAGAAATGGAAAGTAGAAAGGAAAGGTCGAGAAAGATTTTAAACAATTAACTTGAACAAGTTGTCCTTGGTGTTTCTGATAAAACAGACTCCAGCATAAAATTAAGCGATAACGATAAGCATATGTACATTTGTGTATGTTTATACAGCTTGATTCAAACACTATACTGAGTTTGAGACAGTGGAAGTTTATTTGAATCCAAGTTGTACTGTAAATAATTTGTTTTCTTACCAACCTACAGTACCAGTCAAAAGGATTGCAGCACCTACACGTGCGTAAAATGCGTGTAGCCTGCGTGTAGTATTCGTGGACAGTGTGTGGACGGTGTGTGTAATTATACGCGTGTAAAATTTACTGATCTGTTAGTTACACGTATTTGCGTGTAATTTTACGCAAATGCGTGTATTTTAATCCGAGGAAGACACCTTTGTTACTCATACATGCAGTTGCGTGTATTTTGCATAACAAAAAGCCACTACTAACTTGTATTTGAAACCTGTGACTCTCAATGTTCACAACAAAAAGTAAATTTCAAAGCCCACAAGCATTGCTAAATTAGTGGACTAGCTCGAGCACCTATCAAACAAATACTATTTTTTTAGTTTGTAGCAGTCCGCATTTCTGCTTAACATCTAAACTTAATTCTTAAAGATCTATGAGTTTTCGTTTACGACGTGCATTGCAACGTAAGAGCCCACTCAAACTCGCGTGATATCAACAGGCTGTGTAAACATTATAAAGCAACTGTTTTCTATCCGCAAAAACATTAATGTAAATATGACAATGATGATATTGTAACCATGTTTACACGTCTGTGTAGAACACACCTGCCTCTATAGGTAGTTAGTTTTTGATTTCAGCAATATGGGGTTCCTTGTCTTCAGTTTAGTTAACTTTTTTTTTACAATTTATCCCTAGTCAATTATTATTGTTAACTAGGAATGGATTGGAATAAAAGCAACTAACTGAGAGAAAATGAACCACATACACACTGTAGGTGATATAAAAAATTAACTGAGATAAAAAATAAGTTTAAACATATCTGTCCAATCAGAGTGGACCTGGATAAGTGACAGCATGTGAAGCTTACTGCACATTCTTGGCATCCTAGTCAAACTTCTTTTATTAATTGATACTCCTCTTCTTAACAGGGCAAGGAACAAAGTTTGTTCATTCTGCAATTGTGGTGTGGAAAAACGTATGTTTCATGGCAAACTCCAGAGATATGCACCAACACCTGGATTCGACCCTGTCAAGAAGCTCCAAAACAGACACAGACAGAATAGTGGCTGCGACCCTTTTAGAGACAGACTAGACTTAGATCCTTGTGATTCTGGACAGTTTATTGAAGATCACCCAGAGCCTCAGCCTGTTGTAACTCGCCGTGGACCTGGCAGACCACCTGGGCGTGGCCGGCGGAAGGGAATAGTTGTTGTGGGTTTACCTTTGAGAACTGGTAACCATGACCTGACGGTTGACAAGACAACATACGGAACTGTGAAAGAGAAGGAGCTGAGTGATGTATTTGAGGATGATGGTTTCACATGGGCTCATCACTGTTGTGCAGCTTGGTCAGAAGGAGTTAGCCAAACTGATTCTTATGACTTGATCAATGTTGATAAGGCTGTTGTCAAGGCTTTGTCAGAGGTATGCGATTGTGCATGTTTGGTAGGAAGGGTAGTAAATGTAGTTTCCTTTTTTTCCCTTTTCAGATACAGTATGATGTTGTCTTAAAAATCTTTGCATACCATATTCTAGTCTCTGCAAAAGCAATACCACAAAACATGTGGAATGACTGTCAGAAACAAAGATTTTTTTTATTTCTTTTCTTTTGTCTGCTTCCTTGTTCAGGTAAAAATATTATTTATTCCCTACTCTGAGTGGTAATATTGCTTTTAATTCTACAGCGATGTAATCATTGCAATCGATTTGGTGCAAGCGTTGTTTGTCAGATTCCACGGTGTGGGAAAACCTATCATTATCCCTGTGCAGCAAGCAGTGGTTCTTTTCAGGTTTGTCTTATTCCTTGAGTGTCAGGAAAAGACTGGAGTGACTTTCAGAGAGTAGTTATTTTGTGGCTCAGCCTTGAACTTTTAGTTGATACGTGCAATTGAACTTTAACTCAGTTGCTGAAGAGTACCTTGCACTGCCATGTTGATTGGAGATTCTGTAAACAGAAGAATGTAGACATAAAACTTTATAAGAACTGTTTCAGGGCAATTGAAACAAATCAGGATCTGATATAAAGGGAAACTGTGTGGAATTCTCTCAAATTCTCCCACTTGCTCTGAATGTGCAGAGACAATAAGGATAATTTCTGTTGACTTTGTACAGGGTTAAGGGTTAAAGTGTTAATTAACATTCGGGGTTTAAGCATTAATTAACAACTAGATTATGAGCTCGAACTTTCTATGAAGTGAAAGTTGACAAGGCATTAGTATATAGTAGTATTTGCATTACTATGCCAGCGAAATTCTTCTAATGCTTGAAAGAGGAGAGGTGGTACAAATTGGGCTGTGTATCTTAAGTAGCATGTTACATGGTGCGAGTATAACATATTTTTAAAACTGCTAATAAGCTTTTTTCCCTCCGGCACAGGATATTAAATCTATGACCATGTTGTGCCCAGATCATTTGGAAGATGCAGGACGTCTTGGTAAAGATTGAATCGTTTCACTACTCTTTTCCCTGGAATGTACCCATTTAAGTGTTGACGATTTCCTAAACTTAAGGGGCTCTAACAGTCGTAGAACTTTTCTTCCTGCCTTTTATGGAAACTTAAAAATGATGTTATGGCAAATGGCAAAGGACAAAAATGAAACTTTTTGCGGTCTGTCTTCAGCTGTGTGTCCAGTAGAGTGAAAATATTTGTATTTGTGGTAAAAAGTAGAAGACGTTTTTCTATTTTGTATGATTTTTTTAAGAATTAGAAGAAAAGAACACAAAATCAGAGGTAGTCTTTGTTGTTTGCTGTCTGCTGGAAACTTTTTGCTGAAACTCTCTTTTGTTTGTTTCTTCTCTAGCGGCCAGTGAAGCAGAGTGTGTCCTCTGTGGGGAAGCTAAAGATTTTGGTGAACAGATATTCTGCACTAGTTGTGGCCGTCACTATCATGGTCGCTGCTTGGAGCCATCTGTTGATTTGACTTCACTTATCAGAATGGGCTGGCAGTGTCCAGACTGTAAAGTGTGTCAGGGTTGCAGGTTGGTATTGATTAGAATAATATTGATTTTTTCTAACATGATGGAAGCGAGAGACTGAATAGTTTTAAGTAGTCATAGTTATGATGACAGATTCTTGCAGTGCAGATTTCCCAATAACTCTTATTGGGCTTCACATAGTCCTACTGCTGTTAGTTTGTTGTATGTATGGTGCTAGTACCCCTCTTTCCTTTTTCTGATTACAGAAGCAGTATCTTAATATGTAAAAACTAGATGCTCTAAAGTGTTTACTCAGGCTTTGTACCACAGTATCAAATCGTACTTTACAAAAACGTGTATTGGACACAATAAAAGCAAATTAAAGAATCAGGATATTTTAGCACAAGAGTTCTGCTTAGATATTTACTATTGAAGTTGCTTCGTTGAGTATCCTCCTCATCCTATCGCAAGTTGTGGGTTTAAACCATTTTGGTTCAAGAATGAAGCACAACTGCCTTCGCACTGATGGAGAAGTTGTTTGCATAGAATTTTCGAGGTCTTTTTACAACTTATGGTGATTACTTTGTACATGCTAGCA